GATTGAAGATTCGAATGAGTCAGTTGCCTTAGGGGGAAGGTTAACCGAGCCTGTTGTTGTTGCGGAGGTCGTTCGATCGTACGAAAAGAGGATCGACAATGGGATGGCCGTCAGGAGCGTAGCTGAGAAAACAACAAATAGATATGGGAATTGTTTTCTGTGCTGTGCTGGGGAAGACCGGTGACTTCTTCTTGTGTTCAAATTCTTCCAACTTGGCCGTCGACGGTCGAGAATAGAAAACCCGCCCAATCTCGTAGGATTTCAATTGGGATGGCTTTCTAATCTGAACCGGGGAAGGCCGCTTTGATAGTCGCTTGATAGGAGAGGTGCGCTTGATAGGAGATACCAGAGGATGTGTCGATCCTGTCAACCGGAGGGCTTGAATGAGAGATGAAGAGAGGGAAAAGGGTGTATGTTTTACGTGATGACGTTGAGTTGAATCCTATAGTAAAACAGTACTCTTCAACAAGATAACAGAAAACAGGCTTCCTGAGGTCCTTTCGCTTCGTTTCAATGCTTCTAATGGTGCTAATAGGTAGTGTAATGGTATAGGTATGACCGATTGGTTGTGTTTGTTGCTATCAGTGTTGTTGTTCTTAGTGACAGATTCAGAGGGGAAGCTCCTCGATTCGATTCGGCTTCCCGTGAAAAAGTATAACAAGCTTCCTGAGGTCCTTTCGCTTCGTTTCAATGCTTCCGATGGGTCTAATAGGTAGTGCAATGGTATAGGTATAACCGATTGGTTGTGTTTGTTGCTATTAGTGTTGTTGTTCTTGTAGTGACAGATCCAGAGGGGAAGCGCTTCGGTGTTCGGCTTCCCATGAAAAAGTAAGGATCCAATGCGAGGTAACCGAGTGCAGCGAGCAAAGTCGAACCTGAGTGTGTTCGGTACTGTTGCCACTGTCACTGATCAATGCGAACTCTACGGTAGCTAGCTACGGTGGCTGGATTGACAATGTTCGGTTGTGCATGTATTCGTCATAAGGATCCAATGCAAGGTACCGGTAACGGAGTGTAGCCAGTAAAGTGGAACCTGAGTGTTTTCGGTACTGTTGCCACTGTCACGGATCGATGTAACTCTCTGCCTACGGTACCGTAGCTGGCTACAATGGCTGGATTGCATGTATTCGTCATATGGATCCAAGTAGCGAGCAAACTAAGGAAACAGGAGAGGAACGCTGAAAAAAAGCCGAATAAATGTACCGACCACTTGGAATCTAGCAAGACTTTAAGCCTGTCCACCACCTACAGACGCAACGAGAGAGAGTTTGACCACTGCAGCACTAGCGTTAGTTGCCCCATGGTGTGCTACAACTAACGCTGCCACTCCGATGGTCAATCGATTTCTTGTTGTTTATCGACATGATGGACAGTGTCGACATCATGTGTGTCATCGGATGGAAATGGTGTGAGCCTCTCTTTTGCCGGATTCGGTGTCACGAATTTTCCATTTTTTCTAAGTGGAGAGAGCCAGCCGCCGGTCCGCCGGACGGTCAAGAAAATGCCTTCCAGGTCACACATCAAAATTTCGCCTCACAAATTGACGTGATTCGAGTTTTCGCTGACCTCAACGCGTTGCATTGAATATTTCCAGCCATGTTTATCATTCTCGGGACGATGTTTGTTCTTAGACAACAATATGTCGATGAGTGTGCAACCCGTTCAGCGACCATGGGTATTGGCAAAGAGTAGGGTAACTCTATAGTTCGGATTCAACTCAACTGACAAAGATCGAGTTTGTTTCGTGCATGCAGTTCAGTTCAGTTTCGAGCCTTCATCATTTCAGTCAGTTTCCTCTCATAAATTCGAAACAGCAACCTCTACAGCGGAAGCTTTGCTTCCTTGGGTGGGGATACTCTTTCTTTTTTCGTTATTCATCGGCAATGGCCATCTGCCGTTCCCTTCTTTGAGTGCTCCTTCTGCCGTCGATTGTTCTTCACTCCGTTGTTTTATCACTGTCAAACTTTCGATCCTTCCACACTGACTCACCATGCCGACCAAGTACACTCACAAGAAGCGTCACCGGAACCGTTCTCGCTCCCCCATTCCCACCACTGCTCGAGCTGGCTCTGCCACTGCCGCTCGATCCAACACCACTCGCCGCTCTGTGTCTCCTATGCCACCGCCGTTGGCAGCAAGACCACCACGCAATTCCAATGCATGCGAAGGTTCCTTCAATCTGTTGGAGGCACGATTGAAGTCCACAACCCTCACATTCCGCCGCTGCAGCGTGAGCATGACTCCTACATTATGGATTGGGTTGGGTGGTATGGGAATTTCTCCGAGGCAGATCTGAAACGGATCAACTATGTGCGTCTTTACTTCCAAGTTGTCACGGTAGCTGACATCACCACGGCATGTGGCACATACATCCGGGAGGAGTTCTGGCATGGCTTTTCCAGTCCTCTGATGCCTCGCACCACCTACTACTTCAAAAGGTTTCAAGATCGACCCAGGGATCCCAGGTCTTGGTGGTTGTGGAGGAAAGCGTTATCCCTGTTCGCTCCGAATCTGACGTTGGACGTACCCCTGGGGAGATGGCTCGTCTCGGCTGACAAACTCCGCATGCGCCACAGGTTCTTCTACGAGGTCGATGCCAAGGTCGTCTATCAACAAGTTGATAATGAGGAGTCTGAATTCTGGATGTTCCAACATCCAGTTCCGAACAAGGAACGGACAGTTCATCGCTGGGAGTTCGGAGATGAGACCTACCTGGACGCCAGCATCCTACACACTTCGGTGCCACTGGATCCCTACTTCCCCCGATCTTGCACCTCTGTTCAACCAGACTCTGGAAAGCAGCGAGTCCTAGACCTGACCCTCTTCAACAAGCGTAAGACAGTGGTCGTTGGTAGTGGTTTCACAGCAGGCATTCCTGCTCGTCCACTACCACCCACACCAACAACATTTGAGGATTTCCTTGCCACTTTGGAGCCTTGGGAAGCAGCTCTCTATGACGAGCTTGAATGGATGGTGGACGCTTACTCCGTCCTGCAGATTGTCACAGCCATGCCCTTCTGGGTGGCGAGTGATGGGGCTGCAGACATTGACGCCGGAAAGGCGAGCTTTGCTTGGGTTCTGGCAGACAATCGCGGTCAGATTGTGCTTCGGTGCTCTGGTCCCGTTTTTGGTATGGTTCCGACATCCTACAGGGCAGAGGCTTGCTTATGGCATTCTATCCCCTACTTGCCTTCTGCGGAGATTGCTGGAGTTCTACGATCGAACCAGCATGAAGACTTATGTACACCTGTGCGACAATGAATCCGATACCAACAAGTGTGCTGTCTGTCTGGATTACGAGGGCTGGTACCCCAATGATTCCTTGGACTCCGACTGGGATGTCTTGCAGCAGATCGAGGATTCGTTTCGGGCTGCCGTAACAGTGCCCAAGATGGAGCACATCAAATCGCACCAGGACAAGCACAAGGCCATTGAAACGCTACCTTTGAAGGCTCAACTGAACTGCAGAGCCGACAAACTGGCAGACAGTTACATGACCAGACACATGAAACAAGATCACTCCAAGGTGCTCCGATTTCCGGCAAACCTGGCCCAGCTGCACCTTCACAAAGGCACATGCACGTACAAGCTTCCCAGAACACTGCGGCATCTCCGGAACGACCAGCCATTGTTTGATCACATTGTCAAACTTAATCCTGACTGGGGCGAGGACACCCCCGCACTGGTTGATTGGACAGCCCATGGTCGTGCTGTCAACCGTCATGAGATCCACAAACCGACAATTGCGAAGTTTCTATTTCAATTGTTGCCAGTTGGGAAACGGATACACCGAGACGACCACAAGTATGATCACCACTGTCCCCGTTGCGGCGGTGATCATGAGACTGAGACCCATGTTTACAGATGCCCACATGTTGACGTGGATTTGTGGCGAGGGACCATGCAACGAGCGATAAGTACAAAGTTGCGCAAGGACTCCACAGACCCCTTCCTCCTGGAAATTGTTCTTGATGGGCTTCAATATCACTTTGAGGACCGGTTCCTACACCCGTGGCATTACCCAGACCGGTATAGGGACCTTGTTGATGCTCAAAATCTCATTGGTTGGGATAATTTCCTACGAGGACGACTGTCCAAGCACTGCACCAAGCACCAAGATGCCTATTTGCATAGGGTCAGCTCCAAGGAGACCACCAAAACCGGGCAGCTCTGGGTCACCAATCTGGCTTCTGTTCTGATCCAGCAGTGGTGAAATCTCTGGGAAGCCCGGAATGCCGCCAGGCACGGCCGGGATCAGGAACAGAAATGGCGCAAGAAACACGAACAGCTCCAACGAGAGGTTGAGCTCCTGTATGAAAAAGCGAACCTGCTCCCAGAGCACCTCCTTGATACCATCTTCAAGCGACCCCTGGAGGAACAGATGGCCAAAGGGCCGGGGGACATCAAAAGCAGCATGGCTGGCCAATTGGCTTCCAGTTGTGGACAAAGCAATGAGCGAGGGATGAGCATGCACGCGAGCAGCCTTCCCAATCAGGGTAACTATGCGCCGATGTGGGATTCCCATAGCAATATCGGGCGATTTAGCCTAGAGTAGATAGTTAGTCGTACAGCACCTCCGGAGTTTTGTTCAATTTCTCCGGTGGGGGGGCTTACACTAGGCCCATCCTAAGTGGGCGCCCTCGTGTGCCTGAGGAATATGGGTTCGTCACGGCACCGCTAAGCGGATCGTCTGACGAGGTGTAGCCTTTAAAATAAAATTTCATTTTTGTTTGTTTGCAACTCCAGGAGTCGCACTCCTCCTCCCACGAATCTCAACCGTGGCCTTCCAGCAACCATTCGCCAACCACGTCCTGCCTCTCAGGCTCCCGCTGATACCACACCATGCAGAGAAGCACCCAAGCATAAGGGGATCTCGCCTGTGATTGAGCAATCTTCTCTCATCATTGAAGAGCACCTTCGTCAACTCCAGCAACGGCGTCTACTGCAAGAGCTTTGGGAGAGGATTGGAGCGACTGAAACCGAAGAAGTGCAAGTCAACGATGAGGATTCTGCCGCTGCTACTCCTTCGGAGGTTGACATTGGTTCGGACGATGAGCTTGATTCACTTGGATCTTGGGATGATTGTTCTATCCCTGATGATGAGTCGCAAGATGAAGGTAAAGACCTGCTTGACGAAGCTTTGGATGAGCTGGCGCAAGAAGATCTTATTGACTGGGAGGTTGCACGCCGCATTGCCATTGCCTTTATTTTGTCCACGTCTTCTGTTGTCCTGACGAGTCGGAATGGGATGGTCGGAATGGAGTACATGCCCAAATCAGGAAGATGCTTAGCATTCCAAAGGGAACTTCCATCCGTTAGTATGTCTTCGAAGACATTACCAAGTGTCAGACTGCAGGGACGAAGTATCGTGGTCATCGTCAAGCCCTTGGAGAGACCCGTCCTGTCAACATTCCCAAGAACGAATCGGTGGAAGCCCAGATTGTCGCAGACGTTTTGGAGGATGGATTCAGTTTGATGCAAGCTACGAGGCAAGTCAACCATCATCTAAAGGAGACGGAGCAGCCCTTGGTCTCCTTTGTCTCCTTTTCCTCCGTTTGGCATCTCTCCAAGCGACTCAAGCCCTTGGTCAAACCCATCAAGCGTCTCAAGCAAGGGAGTACCGACAAAGTGTCTGCTTGGGCCTAAGCTCGCTACAATTGGTCGATCCAACTCATTCTTCGACTTGGATTGAGTGCTAAGCTGACTGACAAGGCATGGGCTCATATGCGAGCACAAGGTATTGATGGGCAACTGCCTAAGTGGTTCGATGGGACACCGCTGATTGAGTTCAAGATTGACTTGACCAAGGTCGTCTTCTGGGATGAGACTCACCACAAGTGTATCATTGGCCAAGGGGCATCGCAGGCTGGCCGAAAACATCAACTCAAGTACAAGCGGCTGCCAAATGGAAAGTTGGATCCCAACGGTGAATATTCTGAGGAAGACAAGGTGATTTTGAATGTCAAGTATGATGACGAGACCTGTGTCAGTCTTGGATATTCCGCCAATGCCACTGAGGGGCGTGTTGTGCCACTGTTTGACTACAGCGGCAAGACATTGTTGACAATCAAGGACTACGGGAACAAGAAGAAACTGGAGATTGTCCGTATCAAGACCTTGTCGGAAAAGAGTGGCTGGGTCAAGAAGGGACGGGTATCAGGGACGCCGTACAAGGAGGATCCTTTGACTGCAGGAAAGGTGGCTAACTTGGGCGACGGAACCATCAAGAAGCTGAAGAGCGTGTCCCCACCCATCAACACCTTTGGTAAGCTAGCCAAGCTCACAAAGGGGCGCATCAAGGAGCTGGTCCAGCAGAAGGTGGCTAGTAAGAAGAACTTGGAAGAGTGGAAGAAGATTTGCCAGGCAGCGGATGATGCGCCACCAGCCAAGCAGGATTACCACAAGGAATCAAATCCTTACGAGGCTTGATTTGGTCCAAAGTGGGAAGAAAAGCTTGAAGGTTCCTCAGCGATGTCAAAGTATGTTTGTATCACTACGATGGTGGAGCATATCTTTGAGCAATCCAAAGCCCACATGCAGGAGATCCATGGTGAAGACTGTGACGACTGGTGGGTTTACCATGATGCGTTGTCTCTTATGAAGTCCAAGGATTGCAAGAAGTGGATGGAGGAGCAGGGCTACCTCAAGCATTGGATCTTGCCTGAGCTTGGCCTCAACACACACACACCAAAACTCAAGCAATACTACTCACAGGCTCCAGTCGGCAACTCCCCAGAACTGATGCCGTGGGACTGTTCTCTCAATAAGGACTTTGACGATGCCATTGATCACCATGTTCTGTTGACGAATCGTTTGCCTGAAGACCACAAGTACAAATTTTCCTGCAAAATGCACTACGCTAAAAGCTAGTGTAAAGATCTTTCGAGTGTTTTGAGTTTGAGAGAATAAAAGTTATGAGAGAGATTAGAAAGCTATGAAAACTAATCAACGAGAGAGATCATCATC